CTTACCCACGAAAGCTTATGCTCCCAATACTTCTGTTAGTCTCAAAGGTGCCACAGGACCCTCTGTTGCATTTATCAGGTGGAAACAACCGCTCCCAAAGAGGCTGTGTGTGTTTGCAATATCTGTCACAACGGTAATACAGGCTGAATCGAGACACCCACTCAGGATTTTCTTTCCTTAATTTCTGCCATTAAAAAGTGTCACGTTCTGTACTTCAGGGTGGTCCAGTTTGCAGACAGAGAGTTAGCAGGGGGTCTGAAGGAACATGGGACTCTGACAGGAGCATAGAGACTAGAAAATAGCAAGCTAAATGGGACTTTGCAACAACATTGTACTCCTTGTGGAGCCATAGAGACCAGGATTGAGAGCCTAGGATTTTCTGTGAGGAAACATGGGAGTCCTCCTGAGGCATGGAAACTAATAAGGTAGCTCAGAGCAGCTCTACAGAAAAGACGTTGTCTTCCAGGCTCATAGAGCTTAGGGAAATGGAAGCTAGAAGAAGTTCAGCAAGAACATTGTAATCCTCCAGGGTCATAGAGCGTAGAGCAATGGAAGCTACAAGAGGTTCAACAAGAACATTGTAACCTCCAGGGTCATAGAGTGTAGGGCAATGGACGCTACAAGAGGTTCAGCAAGAACCTCTAGGATCATAGAGACTATGACACCACTGGCCAGAGAATCCAGTTTCTTGGGATTACAGCCATGCATCACCCTCTGGGAGACAGTTTTATGTGGGACAAAAATACACAAAAAGTAAGGGAAAACTCTCTCCCCATTGAAAGAGACCGGCGGGAAAGCAAAGAGCAGCTCCTCGTTGCTGAGGTCATAAAATGACACTCGCCCCAGTTCATAGTCCAGATAGACGCCAATCTCATTGTTGTTATTTTTGAGGGGCACATAGGTGTTGGAAGGGCTGGTGAGCGCCACGCAGAGGTGATCATATTTCTGCAAACCCAAGACTCCCGTGTTGGGTCGAAAGACAATATGTCCCTTCCTCCTCACAGACTCTCTGGCCACACCCACAGTCCAGAACATCCCATCCACCTCCACCTCCCAGTAGTGTCTCCCCGAGGTGAATCCCTCACAGCCCAACACACAGGGATCAGTGTCAAATCTCTCCGGACGGTCAGGCATCTTCTGACTTGGTTTTCCCCATCTGGCACCTTTCAGGTCCTCAGAGAGGATGAGTTCAGGACCTGCCGTGTCTGGATCCAGAGTCACATTCACTGCATGACAGAGAGAGAATCTTAGCATTAGAGGCTGAACTCAGCACTGGCGGGGAAGGTTGGACAGAATATTCAAGTTAGACATTAGTACAAAATAATCATCTACAACTGGGTGCCCACAATGTCCCCCACAACGACTTCTTTTTCTAGGTGAAAGGTAAGTCTGAAAGTCCACACCAAACCCTTGGTTGTTAAAGGCCTAACAGGGATGCTGGAGCTATCAACGACCAGTGTGAAAAAACTAGGACATTCGGAGGTGAGGATACGAGCAAGGTACAAGGACATTTTATGTTTGTGTTTTAAAAGCAAGAAACATTGAAAAGATAGGATATTATAAGTGATGGTCATTCAAATAACCTTCACTCTGCCCCTCTAGGTACCCACTCTTCCACCTTTCCCTTCTTCTATCCAGGTAAGCTGGAACAATTTGTACATTGGGGGTGCTGAGAGCCATTGAACCAAACACTAAACCCTGGATATGATGGAAATCACTTGAAGACAGCACCCCTAGTTCCAGCACCTATGCTTCCATCTCTCCTGATTCTGTAAAATGTGTCCTTTTAGGATCAAGGATACAAGTTCTTATAGCCATAGACAGGGTAGAACTGAACACTGCACTGATAGTGGAGTTAAGAAAATGGGAACAATAAACCATCATTTTAAAAGTTCCTTTCATACATACACAATTCTGAATGTCAACACACAATAAATATGCTGCCTCACTGCACCCACCAGTTTTGTACACTTGTGATCTAGACGTAGGAGGTGAGTTTACATAGACACACTAGCTCCATGCACGAGGACCCCGTGCAACTCTTGGGGCATAAGATCTTTGTAAATAAGGTCGGATAATTGACGCTCATGTACTGTGACGGATCAGAAATGGACAAAGCAGCTCATCTCCTGTGTACTCCACATGGTCCTAAAGAAGGATTAATGTGACCCAACCATTTTAGATTTTAGCATCTCCATCCTTAGAGGTTTTTAAGAACAGGTCAGAGAATGCCTGTCAAGAATGGTCTAACTATTCTCAATCCTGCTTCAGCGAGGGTGGGTGGTGGACTAGATGACCTCTTAATGTCCTTTCCGCCCCACATTTTTATGAGTCTATAAGCAATTCTTTGTGGTAACTGATGAGTAGAGCTGGACAGGAAATGAAAATTTTACCCTGTAAAGTTTTTGTTGTAGGGCGGGGAGTTTATATCTATACATAAAACTGACAGTTGCTAAAAACTGAAAACATTTTGGGCTTCGATTTTCCAATAATAAAATAAAAAGAAAACCAATGAAACCGTGTGTGTGTGTAAATTTCCATTTAGTTGAAAAGACATTTTCTCACCTTCCCTCCGTCCCGCAAAAAACAAAATCACGGATAATTGTCAACCAACTAAAGTTCTGGAAAGAAGCATAAACTTACAAGACACCCAAATATTTCCTAGTGTGGATGGATAAAGTTATTGCAGAGTCTTTCATACAAGGGGGCAGAGTTAAGGTTGTCATCAGTGACCTTACCTGAGAAATTCCTTGCTTTCACATGCTGGGTATTTTTGCAATGTAATTCTTAAAATGTCCTGCCTGAATGTCTGCAGTGTGGTTGCAACAGTGTCAGACCCGGGATATTAGAGAGACAAGGTGGGTGAGGGAATATCTTTTACCTGAAGAAGAGCTCTGTGTAGCTTGAAAACGTGTCTCTCCCACCAACAGAAGTTGGTCCAATAAAAGATGTCACCTCCCCCACCCTGTCTCTGCCTTAATGTATTTGTTTAAACAATATTGTATCTTTGTGTTTCTTGGACGCTTCATCCTGAATTTCCTAGTTTCTAATGAGTGCTCTTTTTTTAAATCCCAATGTTCCTGCAAAGTGCTGATTTGTCTGTTGGGGGGAGAGAGCTGATTGGCGGGGGCCCACAGGTGGGTGCTGACCACCCACCATTTTATTTCCACGGGGCTTGGGTGCTCCAGCCTCAGAGCCCCCACGGAGTTGGCACCTATGGGCCCGACGCCCCATTGGGAAGCTCATCAGACGTTCCAGTGGCTGGGGAAAGTGCATTGCACGCTGACGAAATTTCAGAGCGGGGGTTTGTGTGTCTCACCTTTGAATTGCT